TGACGGCCCCTCTCTGGGGGCCCCTTTGGAAACCGTTTCATCTCGCTCGCACCACTTGTGTTTACTGCCTAGTCAGGTGACGTTATCGGCGCTATTTTTAGCAGGGCTTTCCCGAACAATTCAAGTGGTCAAACTGGACATTTGGAACGGACTATGAATATGGGGATAGCGAGGTAACATAAGTGGAAGTGCATACAATACATATATTCATTAAAAAAAAAACGCCTTTTCACGTGATGTCCCTTTAAAAGGATATACATGTACTATTTCTCCAATGGATGAGAACCAAATGATCGCTGATTCAGTGATTGTAAGAGGAAGTTGTATGATGCTACAAGTCTATTATCAGTAAATTGTGTATCCACAGGAGCATTAGCTAAGAAGAGGAAATCTTCGGACGAGGAAGAGAACTACGTCAGTGATTCTGTGTTTTGTCAGCTGCTCAGTAAATGTGGGTTGACATTGAAGAAAGGAGGCAAATTTAACACACTTAGTAAGTTGACAATCTACATCTGTAGTATTCATAGTACCTTTGTAGTTTATCACAATATAATTTGTATTTGCCTGTCAAAAGTTTTGAGCAAATTCCATGAATGATAAATTTGACATCTCTGTTGACTATGAATGTATGCTGAAAGCAGTTGTCTGCTTGTATAGGCTTTGTATACCTGAGGTTTTTAGCTTGTCAATATATTTTTGACTGATGACCTATGCATCAAACTAAAGCCCCTTGCCTTTTTGAAACTTTTACATTTGAGAGCTCACATTTATTATATGATTAGATGCTTGGGGCTCAACTTCAAATCAGTTGAGCTTTTTTGTATACCCTAGTGTACTAGAAATGATATCTAATAATACTTTCAGAATTTTTTTTGTCTTAAATGTTGAACATGTTACATGATTTTAAAATTGAATTAAAATTCAAATAAAAATCATCTTTTTAGATGTGGACCAAGCTGTTTTCCAACGAAACCTACACTTGGCTTTGAAACGTCATGACAACTATCCAGAGGTGAATAGGAAGAACATCAAGTATTCCAGTGTTCTAATAATTGATGAAACTTGCATTATCTTAGAATATTATACTGCAGTTACAGCTAGAATTTTCTTTGTTACATTGACACTCTTCACACAATGTACGACGTATTTGTAATAGATATCTCTGCACAGCAGAAACTCATATTTGTTTTGCTATTCCGTTTTTAAGTCACCTGAGACAAAGTCTCAAGTGACCTATTGCGATCGCCTTTTGTCCGTCGTCGTCCGTCGTGCGTCCGTAAACAATTTACATTTTCGACTTCTTCTCCAAAACCCCTGAAGCAATTTCAATGAAATTTTGCAGAAACCTTCCATGGCCAAAGGTCAACTAAAATTGTGAATTATATGGTCCCCAGCCCCTAGGGGCCCGAGGGGCGGGGCCAAAAAGGGTAAAATTGACTAAAATTTCAAAAATCTTCTCAAGATCCAGATATGGTAGAATCAAATACTCTTCATAGATAGAAGGGTCTTAAGGTGCTTTACTAAAATTGTGAATTTCTTGACCCTGGGGTCTCACGTTTCCCCCTGGGGAGGGGGTAAACTTTACTATAGTATATATAGGGAAATCACATTAAGTTGACAGTTTGATACTTTGTAAATTTTGAGCCATCCCTACCCCCAAGGGCTGTAGGGTGGGGCCCAATGGAGTCTGTGTGCTAAAACAAAATTTCTTCATTTTCCTTGTTTAGAATCAGAGGTGCTAGTTTCAAATACTTTTCAGTCTTAAATCTGCATGCTAGATATTGAATAAGGTGGTTTTATTGTTTTTTGTCACTTTGAATAATATTTCTGTTCATGTTAAAAACAAAATCAGCTCTCTGTATAAATATATCAGGTGACCGTTAAGGCCCATGGGCCTCTTGTTTCCTATTGCAGAGTTATCCGCTCTTGTGAGCAGGTATTGATTGTTACGTCATTATTTTGTACGAGAAAATTACATTGTTTTCTCAAAAATTAATGACGTTACTCTCACAAACAAATGACGTAACTATCAATACCTGGTCACAAGAGCAGATAACTCTGTAATGCGAAAAGACGGAATACTTTCAGCTGTTACTTACGAACCATCTGTAGATTTTATGTCACTTACCGAACCCTAATTTAGTAAATATTGTGCAAATCCCATCTTGCAAATTTTGTTTAGACTTTGAATGTTCAGAAGTTTGTGAAGAAAATTATTATTAAGACTTTGTAAAGAAACTGAATGATAAATTTTGTAAGAAACTGGATGTTGAGATTTTGTTACGTCAAACTGAATGTTGAGTGATTTAGTTTCGGTATAGTTTCATGTTTATAATCATACACTGTACTGTAGAGAATGCTTTGAAAAGAAATCATTAAAATATCTGATTTTATGTTTTTTAAGTTTTCTGGAGTTAAATTCTTGCAGAAAAAAAAAGACTTAGTTATTCATGTTTTGAATTTGAAGTTGTGTATTAAGGTTAAATGCATAGTATCAAAATAACCTTTTATTTTCAATTTTCGTTCTTGTGGACAACTGAAGTAGTAGAATCAATAGAACTGAGCTGAGTCTGCATTACTTGAAATGTTTAGTTTTATAGCTTTATACATGAAATAATGACTGTATGTTTTTGACTTGTATTATGATTAACTGTTTTTCACTTGTATTCTGATGGGAAGTTTTTGACTTGTTTTCTGAGCAGGTTGTTGATGAATTTGTTGATGGTTTCCAAGAATTCATAGAAGATCAATCAAGGTAAGTTAAATAATTATATACAATCTGCGAAGGAGACTTATGACATCACCTTAACATGATGATGTCTTTACTGAAGTCTTCACATCAGGGTGGTCTGGTTTATGTTTCTGTTAGGAGGCTCATCAATCATCAATAATTTTATTTTTTTGTTTTTTTCAAAAACTGATAAATAGCCCTTCTCATAAACTTTGAGTTGGAATGTAATTTTGCTGATGTTTAAATGCCACAAGCTGTTGTCATGTTCTACGTGTTTATTAACCTATCTGTAGATACGTCTCTGAACAGTATCATTTTACAAATAATGTACTGCTTATTGAATGGAGAAATTAAATCTTACACATCAATTAGACATCAACTACAAAAGAAGACCTGAACACTACTGAAATCTGTCTTGTATAGCCAATGTTGTTTGTGTATGGATATTAAAACTTAGTTTATTTCTGTTGTTTTGGTTTATTTCAGATTTCACTACAGCCTCCTTCCCACCAACACAACTTCAGATTGTGACTCGTACGTGAGCCATAAATAAACCAACATTTGTTACTTTTTTTCATTCAAAAAATTATTTTGTTTAAATAACTTTGATGTTAAACCTTAGATATCCAGCCCCGGGCATCAGATTATACATGTATTAATAATGTTTTTCTTGATTTGAAATGTAAGAGCCCGGAGCGGAGGACAAGACTGTGCCATACGTCTGATGTTGGGCGTTGACTTGCTGCAGGTACAGTAAAAATGATGTAACAGTTCTATGTCATCTTTACACTTTAATAGCTGACAGTAAATATAAAAACAAAAATTTGAATCAGCCTCATGGTTAGTTTGATTTGAAGTTTCTGTAGTTACATTACGTTAAGTATGGGAAATTAAGTTCAAATTCAGTTTGAGGCACACTTAATCATCATTATCTAATAATTCAGAAATGCTTTTAATTCCTATTTACAAAATACTTTCATGCATGTCATCTGGCTTGTTACCAAGTCAATTCTATCATATATGAAGGAAATTGTACTGATTTTAATAGCCCGTTTCCAATGAGATTTACATAGTTTTCTTTTTGATTTTGAGGGAAAAAATAAATATCTTTCTTTTTCATGAACAAACTTTTTTTTTCCTAAAAGATATTTTATGGCATGAAGGACTTCCTAAAGTTGTATATCTTAGATGATTATAGAGAAAAAAAGTGAGAAGTAGTTTCAGATGCTGCAATACTTACGGAATGAGTAACATTGAAATACCAGGGGAAATGTATGCCTTGATAATGCTTGATTAATTCACTGAAAAAGGGCTGATATTGATGCAGTCCCATATCAGTCCCATATCAAAAGAAGAAAATGTAGGGGACCTGAAATATTAAACACTTTTTGATGTCAACATTACTACCAGCTTAAGACCCAACTTTTCAAAAGGCTAGCACAAATACTGTGGGGAAAAAATGAATATCCTTATAGATTTCATTTCCTATCGAAATTATGATATTAATTATATAGTAGTTCTAGTATAGTACCGGTAGTAAGTTCTAGTAAATTGTTTGGTTTGGTTTTATAGGTATGGGTTTAACACACTTTTAACAGCTGAGGTCATTTAAGGATGAGGAAAATAACTGGAGTTTCAGTTCATTTGTTTAAATTTAACGGTAACTGCTTAAAAAAAGTGAAATGCCATCTATGTAATACTGGTAATGTACAAAACCTGTAATTTTAGAAATTGATAAAAACAGTTGGTGACCAGACTTTTGTTTTGTAGCCTAAACTGATGAACACTTTACTGGAGAAGCTGGCAGAGTTCATGGAAGATGAAGAGTAAGAATAATTTGTTAATTTGATTTCTACAACAGAGCCTTTAATGGCCTATTTGTGCATCATATGTGAAACGTGTGAAAAATCTTATTTTATAAATAGATCATTATACATAGTATTCTATAATAGTATCAATTAGAGCGGTACTGATTACATCGCAATTATACATATCTTTACTGTTACCAGATGTTTTATACATTTTTTATTTATCTCCTTCGTTAGTTAGCCTGCGACTATTTGAGGTAAATTCTGGTAAGGCACATCATCAATTTGTGCATCATGTGTTTTCTGCATTGCGGGATTTGGACATGTTTTGCCATACATTCAAAATTTCACTAATAAATTCATTTTTTTTTTAATATAAAAGACCTGTTCTGATAAATCCTTTAATTACCTTTATCAAACTCTGAAAAAATTTGATATTTCCCAATTCAATAGTCTGACCTACTGATTTTCCCAAGTTGAGAGTTCCTGCTCCCTTCCCAAAAACCCTCTTTGTAAAGCACTTGTGGTATTATTTTAAACAGTTGAAATTTGTAAAAAAAAATATGATTTGCTTTTTTTTCAGCTCTATATTTGATCATGGAGAGAAAGTGAACATCCCTCGACTGTTGATGAGTCAGTTTAGGTGGCTGGACAGTATCATCAACGGAAAAGTTGGTATTTTTGCTTGTCAATATAATTGCGCTCTGATAAACTTGTCATCAGTATAAATAATTAAGTTTGAAGTACTACTCTTCAATGGTATGACATAAGTTTCCAACATCTTCAAAGATATAAAACTGCAACAGTGCAGTTAATCAGAAAAGTCCCAATTTTATACAATTGTTTTGATATTTATCTTCTTTTTTTTTCTATTTGTTTTTCTAATTGACAGTTGAATTGAGAATTTAAAAAAAGAATGAATACAATTTTTTATCATATTTAAAATAAAAGTTATCTCATTATCGTCAAAGCTTTTGACTGAAGCTAAATTATTTGCGTCATTTCATGTATTTTTTTAGGAGGTGACAAATAAGATGTTGGAGATGATTGGCATTGTCTCCCTTGATATACAAAGGGAGATAATCACCTGTCTTCCTGAGGTTGTGGAAGACTCGGAGCATGGGGAAGTGGCTAAAGCTCTTAGGTAAAACTTTATCACAGTCAGAAGAAAAGACTGTCAGAGCATTTTATCACTAATCGCTGTGGTTTCTGTGGCACAAATGACTGAGAGAACATTACTCCATCCTGGAAAGGACACCGTTTTTTTGTGTCGCCTACGACGGATGTCGGAAGACACATAGGCGTCGCTTTTCCGACGACAACGGCAGCGTCAACAATGTTAAGATTTTGCATTTCAACGATTTCTGTATTTTTTGGCTAAAAAACTCAAACTTCTGGACTTAAAAAAAACCTTAACGTTAAGGTTTTGCGTTTAGCTCTTGCATATTAGGCTCTTTCTGACAAAGTATAAGAGCTACACCAACCAAACCTCAATCATACATGTATCATGGGTAGTAGAGTCTACTACTCTAAAAACATTTCATGGACTTCTACAGTTTTTCGGATAAAACCTGAAATTTCTGGACTTGAAAAAAAAAAAAAATGTTATGATTTCGCGTTTAGGTCCGTTTCCTTATGTACTATGTCAAATGCTTATTATATTGACAAAGCGGGACAGGCGACACATATAATTACGAGTAATTCTTGTTTCCATCAGTAGGCTGAAATGCTGCTGATTGCTTTTTGCTTCCCTGATGAATTACCTCATTTTGGTGCCCAAAGGATCATCATTGTGAATTCACATAGCTCACAAAAATATCTCTGGCCTGGCAATTTGTTGATTTCTCAAATTATAGTCCTTGTGAAAATTACAATAATTCTTTCGACTTTCTGATTTTTTGTGAAGGTTACCTTTACTTAAGGTAATAAGTACAATGAAATTTTGAGAGAGAAAAAGGAATATGAAATACTTAAAAATTAGAATCTGGTTGCTGCAATTGTTCATATTTTAGCTGTAATCTTATTTTAGTACTCTTTGAACTTAAAATAAAACACCGATTACAGTTTCTGTAAAGCATATATTGTAGGTGAGCAATTTAATCAATGCACTAATTTGTCAAAATTTGATAATGGGCTAAAATTTGACTATTGCTAAAATAAGGACATACAGTAGTTTGATCTCCAGTAAGCTTGTTTTCTGTGCTGCTTGCCCAGAAAAATAAGCCCTGGTAATTTTCCTTCTGTACTGATTTTGGCAGTCTCCAATTTTACATTTAGTTCTATTAAAACTAATTCATACAAGGAGTGAACATTATGTTTGATCATTTATCGTTATTTTTGTTTTCTTCACATTTAGGGAAATATTAGTGCAAAATAACCAGTTAACTGTTCCAATACTGGATGCCTTGTCGAACCTGACACTCTCTCCTGAACTGTTATCTGAGGTGAGTTACCTGTCCTTGTCTAAGCTGACACTCTCTCCTAAACTGTAATCTGAGGTGAGTTATCTGTCCTTGTCTAAGCTGACACTCTCTCCTAAACTGTTATCTGAGGTGAGTTATCTGTTATTTTCTTAGCTAACACTCACTCCTGAACTGTTATCTGAGGTTAGTTATCTGTCCTTGTCTAACCTGACACTCTCTCCTAAACTGTTATCTGAGGTGAGTTATCTGTTATTTACTTAGCTAACACTCACTCCTGAACTGTTATCTGAGGTGAGTTATCTGTCCTTGTCTAACCTGACACTCTCTTCTGAACTGTTATCTGAGGTGAGTTATCTGTCCTTGTCTGACCTGGCACTCTATCCTGAACTGTTATCTGAGGTGAGCTATCTGTTATTTTCTAAGCTATCACTCCCTCAAGACCTGTTATTTGAGGTGAGTTGTTCCTTGTCTAACCTGGCTCTCCCAACCTGATGAGAGTATCTTTTCCTTGTTCAACTTGAAGTCGCTTACATGGCCATTACATCTGATTTCCACCACATTTCGTTTTAAAAATTTTAATTTTGTTGTTGAAATTTTAAGGTGTTGTGTGCATTTTGATGAGACTGCATGACACAGAACAGTGAAGTCTGTGTGATAAAGATCAATGTAAATTACTTCCTCAGAATGTAACTGTATTGGTATGTTTATCTTGTTAAATTCATTTATCTTTGTGTATGTTTGTCATTTTGTTCCATAAATTCCATGAATGATAGATAAAAAGTGATATGCTACATTAGCCATGTGTTAGAGTTATCTCCCCTACTGTATTTTATTTTGTCACCCCGCTTATAAAGTGACTGTTTTGTCGGAGTGTGTGTGTGAATCTGTCTGTTTATTAATACCTTTTAAACTGAGTGAAGATACCTATATACAGTGCCTGTGAACCTCTTGTTTATGATACCAGGTGAGAGGATCAGTGCTCCAGACACTAGCATCTGTCAAAATGGAAGATTTGCCAGTGGTCATCAAGTTCCTTCTCCAGTCGGTCAACAATCAGGATGCTCCAGAGGTACATTCCAGTGTCTGTAAATCTAAAGAAAACATTTACAGCTGTTAATTAAGAAACATAAGACTTTTCATCAAAGTGAATTTTAAGTGTCCTTTTCCTAACCGAAACATTTTCCTTTTGTGTTGTGCTTTCCTGTAAGATGTAGATAGCATGCCTTACAGTAAGTGGAACATGGTGAACTGGAATTGATGGAAATCACAACGTGTTGTGTAATTTAGTTATATTTGCTGGTGTTATAGGTTGTCGAGGAAATTCGCAGTAACTTGGACTTCAACTCCAGCTTTGCTCCCACCATTTCCTCTACACCATTCTCAACACAGGCTGGCAAGAGGTAAGTATATCTTACTCAACAGACATGTTTTGGTTCTATAAAGAGAGAGAGAGACCACCTCTTTCTTTAAGTAAGGCTTGTTATAATTGATAGCACCTGTCTGGAGAGGCCGCTCCTTCATAGGTACCATTAAATTTGTCTATAGAGTGACAACCTCTCCTATGAAGTAGAAACTCACCACCTCTATCATTAAAACATTGGGTGTCTCTCACTGGTTACACAAAGTCAGATTAAATCTATATGGAAATGTAACATAGCATAAAGCAGACGTACTGTTATGTACATCTCCCTGATGTAGAAGAATAATACATTCAAATGTAGTTACCCTGAATATACAGGCTGTCTGTTAACTAACTGATACGTTTACACAATATAAAAAGTATACAATATTCAATTATAGCCTTTGGCTTAGGTCGAAATTGGATTTATCGACCCGAGAAAAGATATATTGACCGAGGAAGCAGTCCGATGTCAATATATCTTTTCTCGGGTCGATAAATCCAGGTATCGACCGAATTAAAGGCTACAATCGTTTTATTATTTTCAAAACAGATTACTCTGAATATAGTAGGTGGTGTTAAAAGTGTTGTACATGTATTGCTATCAGGGGATCTAAGTCGGAGATAGAGAGTGCACGGGGGTCGGAGCTGCTTACACTGGACGCCATAAAGTCAGGAATACGTTTTCAGAAATGTGTAGCAGAGGCATGGATAAAGGTAATGTCGCCATAACTACTTTGTCAAAAAAAAACGTTGTTTGATTTAAATTCATGTGATGGTAATTGTCAAAATCTAAAGAAAAATTTCCAGTTATTATTACATAATTTTGAAAGAGTTACCAAAAAACTATGAAAACTGAACTTAAAATATATTCTATATAATGATTGGTTATGTATATACAACATCATTGAAGTGTTAATCTTAATGTTTATAAATAATTGAAATAAAAACACCTCGAAAAAAGGTCTTATAGACTAAACTTGGCATCTTCCTTTTCAAAACAAAACATGCCAAGTGATGTTGTTTCTAACATAACAAAGGATAAAAATGACAAATGGAGTAAAATGTTTTGCTTCTCAGGTGATTGATGGAGTGAAGCAGCCAGGTGATCACAAAGTTATTGATATCTTTATCCTCCTCATCCTCCACTCCACCAATCGTAAGAAGCCTGTGGAGAGTTTGTTCCGTAACAAGATTCGGGCGGGTGGCTTCACTGAGGTGTTAGTACAGGCAGCCTTCGGGGCCCACTCACAGGTAATGGGTGTAATAGTTGATAAAGTCAGGTCACTTGTGATTAATACCGTATTAAGATGGACTTAATTTCACCGAGCATAAAGTTAGGAAATTTTAGCACAATTTAACTTCCGCCTTTTTGGCCCCCTCTTCCATGAGGGCGAATTTATCATGACAGTGAAAATAAGTACACAACATACATTATATAGTTTATATTACATGTTAAATGTGAAAATAACAACAGGGGAAATTAATGTTTTTGGTAAAGGGCGAATATTTTACAGGACGAACGTTTCCTAGTATACAGTAAGTATATACAATGTATGATAAAAAGTCATCAGAGTGTTGACCTAGATGGGATCTCGATCGTCATATTTTGTATATACAATAATCCTATAATAGGAAAATAGAAAAAAAAATGCTAGACTGATGTTCTGAAGGACGTTCTCTGAGCAACATGTACCGAACAGAACAGCATCTGGAATTGTCATTGGCAAAGATTTTGTGTTATAAACTGTCATTGGTGGAATTTGATGTAGCTAAACCTGATTTAAGTTTAAAGTAGTTCTGATTGGTTGAGTCAAATTTATGTGTGTTGAAGGTGATGCGCGACTACTTCCCGTCCATCCTGTCGCTAGCCGAGGCTCTGCTGCGGTCCCCAGAACCTGCTGTCGTGTACTTCGCATGTGCTATGTACAGGGGAGCATTCACAGCATTCGACTCCTTCTGTCAGCAGGTGGCGCTTCTGTAGATTTTTCCGTTGCTATGTTAAATATCACATTACCGTGAAAGATTGTTGATTTTCTCTAGAGAATACTACTGTACATTTAATTTCTCATCATAAAAACAGAAATTGATTCTTGTTATTGCTGCCATTTGAATTGATATTCAATACATTGTCAATTTCTTTTAACTTTTATCAAATATGACCAATATGACAGAATAGCCTATATGTTGCTTATAGCAATGAATCCGTCAGTTATTTGTGTTTTATTTATATTAAACCACGTAAAGAGATAAGGATGAAGACCAGATCATTCACTCAGATTTTCACGCAAAAAGTATTTCTATCTGTGTAAGTTTATATCTGTAACAATGAAAATGAGAATATTTTCCCTTCTGACACCGCTGTTAAGATGGAAGGTTTGCGACTTTTTTTAGGAAATCGTCGGGAACCTGGTGACCCACATTGGTATCGGGTTTGAAGGGGAAATTGACTCCTCCCTTGATATCCTGGCTGAACTTGTCGACACACACCTATCCAAGATGGCACCTTTTGCGATATTTGTCAAGGTATGTTACCTACATCTGATCTGTGTATTAAAATCATCCTTTCATGATCTTAAATTTAACTTGAAGCAATACAAGAAACATGCACCTTCCACAGACCTGAATATACTGTATGCTAGATACTGTCTAAAAAAAAGATACGCTGAATTATATAGGAAGATCATCAGCCTACAATATTAGTAATATCAGATTTGTAGACTAATTAAACATTATCTCACCGGGTACGCGTCAAATCTGATACAGACTAAGTGGCAGCACTGGCTTCACAAAAATCAGAAGCATAATTGTAGCAATGTAGAAATTCTTAACCCTTTCACCACTGTAGACCATAATGGACTCCTCCAGATCAATGTATGGAAGGGTCTACTAAAATAACCTAGGGGTGAAAGGGTTAAGCTGACATTTTCTGTCATAAGGATCTTATAATTGTTTGATGGTATCATCAGGCATTACGTACAGAACAGTCTATAATTTTATTTAAATTAAAGAGCAGCAGTTTTGTACAAGCTCTTCCCACTGAATGCCTATAGCAATGATTCCGTCAGTTATTTACTGTTTTGGGGGTTTACAGCAAATGTGGTGATTTTCACTCTGACCTGTTGTCTTGATGTCGTCTTTGATTATCCAGGGCGTCCTTGATTATTTAGACAACCTGTCCGTGATGCAGATCCGGAAATTGTACTCAATGCTGAGTATGTTGGCCTTCAGGAATCCCCAAGAAGGGGGCCTCATACAGGTTTGAAAAAATATTGCTACTTATTCAGTATACGTTTTTGACCTACAATTCAGCAATTTGTAAACTTCTACTACAGTTTTGCTTGTGAAAAAAAAAAGATTTAAAAAAAGTTTTTGAATTCTTTCAAAACCTGGTAGGGCTGTATTTTAGGATTATCAACTGTGTTTTATTGCCAGTTTTATATAAATTATCTGGGCCAAGTTTTGTGTTTAATTACCTGGGCCCAGTTTTGTGTAAATTACCTGGGCCCAGTTTGGTGTTTAATTACCTGGGCCCAGTTTTGTGTAAATTACCTGGGCCCAGTTTTGTGTTTAAATACATGGGCCCAGTTTTGTGTTTAATTACCTCGGCCCAGTTTTGTGTAAATTACCTCGGCCCAGTTTTGTGTATAATTACCTGGGTTCAGTTTTGTGTAAATTACCTGGGCCCCAGTATTGTGTTTAATTACCTGGGCCCAGTTTTGCGCTAAATTACCTGAGCTAAATGAAGTGTTTAATTTCCCTTAGCACAGTTTAGTGCTGTAACAATGGCCCAGGTTAGTGTTTAATTTCCTTGACCAAGTTTAATGTTTTTTTAATACCTTGTCCCATTTAATTGGTTGATTGCCAGCTGGTCCCAATTAATTATTTAATACCTGGGGCCAGTTTACTGTTTAATTTCCTGGGCTCATTTGTTAATAACCTGAGCTAATAAACATGTACTTCAATAATTTAATACACATTTAAAATCGAGATATTTTAAACTTAAAAGTTTCATTTTTATGTCCCCTTCATCAGAGTTTAATAATTATATGAACTAGGCATATTAAAAATCTGACAATTTTACAATGTGAATTTATTGAGGGCCTGTGTAGCAATACTCTTAGAATAGCTATAACATCAGTATTCCGAGAATATATGGAATGAACAGATAGTTATTACGGCAGGTAAGGATGGTGACATTTTTTTTCTCTACAACCAACTATTGCTAATAGTGACATGTGGATAAAGTGGAATGAGTAACAGGAAATAATATTACAGTTACCAGTTTGGTTCCCTTCTGTCAGTTTTTGTCAATCTTTCGAATGGGAGAACATAGTACAAATCTACAAAACCATACAGAATCCATTTCTGATTAACACCAGACACGCCTACTTTCAGGATGACCTACACATTTTGATCCGGAAGCAACTTTCCAGTAACAGTCCAAAGTAAGTTGAAAATCTAAGCCAGCACATTCATTAATAGGCGGATCCTCTAAGTAATTAATATCCTTGAATTTCTGCATTTTTGAATGTGTTTTGATCATAATTATTGGCACTACCTGACTGGCAATGTTAACATTTCTTCTATGGTAAATGGTTTGGTCCTGTGATTCCTTTATCTACCTGTTAATGACATGTATTGTTTATCTGTTAACAGGTACAAAAGGATGGGGGTTATAGGGGCCATTATGATCATCAAGAGCATCGCCTACAAGAGGTATGTGTCTGGTATCTAAACTGATCATGTGGTTACCGTACTGGGAAACAATGACAAAGGAACATCTGTGAGAAAGTAACAAAAAGAGATTCATTTATACGAGTTATTTCACTATTGACTAAAATTAAAATGTCATGGTACTCTAACACTCTTACTCTAACAGCCTGGGACACTGGTTTTTGATGTTTTTTAAATATGATATGGAAATTACAGAAACTAATGTGTTGGGCACCGTAATAAAAATGTTGCCCTGTATTGCTGTCTGAGGATTGTTGACGACCGCTGCTACATTTTAAAAAGTGAGGAACTTATTTCAGTACAAATACGGTACTGACCCAGCTGGAAAGTGTTCCTCTGTCCGATGACCTCTACAAACAAGTGGTCAGTCTGCTGCAAATGGTCAAGACATCGAGCAGTCGCACACCAGAGGTGGCAGCTCTCTTCATGGACGAACTCGCAGCGGTCATTCGCCGTGGACAAATGGACTCCAAGGTCGAGGTAGGTCAGAGTTTTTAACTAAGGTCAACAGACCTTTAAGTTCATTCAAATTAGCCCAATCTATAAATGTGATGTTGAATAGTTGCTTGATTTTTGCAAGATGGTTGTGTTGAAATGGGTAAATAATTGGTGTTGAGGGAGGCAAGGGGAGTAATGAAAACAAAGTCTATTAAGATTAAACTAGGCTTGATTTGTGTCCTAGAATATGCATTATTGGAAAGAAATGTAGGTCTAACATGTATTTCCAGTATGTCACCAGTTGATCATCTTCTATCAAGTGAACCTGAAAAAATGTTGATATCATTTTCATTGCTAACTGGGTATCCTTGATTGTATGATTAAATATGGAATTGTTTTCATTACTACACAAGGACTTAACTCATTCATCCCTACATTTTTAAACTGGACTTGCTCTGTCTTTGATTTGGTAAAGGTTCAAATGTGACTTCAGGGGTGAATGAGTTAAGGAATCATTACCAGCTCACTTCCTGTTTAAACAAGAAAATGCAGCAAAGCTGCTGGACACCAAACCATTTTATGAAAATGACTTACTGACAGTCCACCAACCACGAGGGAACGGATCCTGCATACTTTAATCTATTTGATTATAATCATATAAATTGTAAATGGCATTAATTGTGTTGTTCAGAATATTCAGTTCACGCTCAATATCTAGTTGTAACCGCACGTTTTGGGCCAAATGTCAATGATTTGGTAATAATGTCATCTTCTAAGAGAGAGAGAGA